ATAATTTTTACATTTTTAATTAATTTTCCAGTTTTAGGATTATTTATATTAATATTAACATTATTATTATTATTATTATTACTATTATTGTTGTTGTTGTTATTGTTAATATAATAATGATATTATTATACAACTAACAATTGAAAATCATCTGGAATAATTAATTTGATTATATTTTAACATATATAAGAATATGTACTATAATTCCATTACATAATCTGGTTCAGTTTGTACAACAAAATGTTTGATTAATTCGTGCAAGTATTTGATCAACAAATCAAACATTTGCTTCGTCCAATAAACTATTTCCTAAAATTTTAGAAAAAAAATTTTTAAAAATTTTCAATTCATTAAGTATTAAAAGTAAAGTTTTTTTTTGTTCTATACATTGATTTCAAAAATAACAATAATTAACTATAACAATAGATTAAAAATCAAAATAAAGAAAAAAAATAAATTAATTAAAAAAAACATAATTTCAAGAATTAAGACACATTTTTTGAATGTACATAAATAATTTTTAATTTAAGAAAAAACTACCATAGGGACAAATTGAAAAATTAATCAAACAATCATTATATTGACTACATATAATTATTTATAATAATAATAAAAATAATAATAATAATAAAAAAAAATAATAATAATAATAATAATAATATTGAAAAATAAATATTAAAGTTATTATTAATAAATGAATGATAATTTATGATAATTAGTTTATAAATTATAAACAGCAGAACAACAAAACAAAAGTTTTTTTAACCCACTCTCTTTGAGAAACTAATAGTATTTCTTAAATCCCTAAAGTTTGGGCAAAAAAAAAACGACCTCTTTTTTTGTGTCTGAATCTATTATTTTCTTAATTCAAAAAACTTTAGGCAAACAATAAAAAAAAGGAGGTCAAGCACTTTGAGAAAGAAAGAGAGATAACCATTTTCTTCCCCACAGTTTCTAAAATTACCTTGCACTGTTATTGTAACTCTGCACACTCTGTTATTCCAAGACACTGTCTCTCTCTATCTCTCTTGATGGAAACCGATTGAGAAATAAAACTTGAAGATGTTTAATATAATTGATCACAGCGAAAAATCACCAGAATACGGCAGGTCCCTTTGTTTATTTTACGTAAGTGGTGACAAATGATAAATGCACACTAAATATTGTAATCCGCGTTCAAGTATATATATATATATATAAGGGGGATAAAAAAGTAAGGGAGTAAGATAAATTGGGGAGGAGTTGATTTATCAAGAAAAAAAAAGGATGATAATGATGTTGATGATCAAAAAGGTGTTTAATATATGATAAGAATTTTTTTTATATATATGATAGTTACACAAAAATATGAAAAAATTTTAACACGATCGCGACGAGTATCACTCGTAAACTGAGTGCGGATGTACTGAGAGACGAGGGGCAAAGAGGCACGGAGGATGGAGGCAAAGGGTAGAAAATAGGGTGAAAAGGGGGTAGGATTGCGCGACGAGAACGAAAAACGAGATGCAGGTTCCGTATTGGCGCGCGCAGAAAATATACAATTTTCAATTCTATAATCCATGAATTATAATTTTAAAAAACTATTTTAGAAGATTTAATTTATTTTAATTTGACAAAAAAAAAACAATTTAATGCCGATTGACAAAACCCAATCACCCCGAGTTTGCATTAGCCGCAGTCGTTAAGGCATTAGATTTAAGTTTATATGTCACGCGTTCGAATCCCCCCCCCCCCAACGTTATCAGTTTTTTTTTTTTTTCATTAATTTCAAATATCAAATATTTATTCTAAAAAAATAGAGCCAGATTTTACAGTACTGTAATTTTTATTCTATAACTTCAATATTAAACCTTCCAATTACGAGTGCTTTCTGTTTTCGGGGGTAGAAAAAAAAAGTTCTCAAAATGAGGCGTTTCCGATGATCGTTTATCCCAAGGATCGTCGAGAGACATTCGAGTCAATTAAAACTTTCGTTTTATCGAAAGTAGCAAAGATAGAGGAAAGCTGGCTTCTTCTTGGATATATATATATATATATATATATATATATATATATATAGAGAGAGAGAAGTTTAGAAATGTACGAAAGTTATAGAAAGGATGAGGGATCACATAAAGTCTTTTCAAAATTTTAGTTAGAACTACTTTTAAACCTCGTGCTATCTTCAACTTTATGAATATCAAATACTATATAATAAACGCAAATGGAAAATTTTCTATTTCTACAAACAGGCAATTCAAACTCTCCATTAATTAAAAAAAAAAAGAAAAAAATAAACTAAAATTAAAACTTTCATTTTTGGTTAAAATGCAGTAGCAGTAGTCGTTAAGGCGTCAAGAAATGTGAATTCTTTGTATATGTCGTGCGTTCGAATCCTCCCAGTGTTACTGAATTTTTTTTTGTTTAAAATTATAATTTGTTTTATTTAATGTTTATTAATTTAAATAACATTTTTTTAACCGTTTCAAAATCATTTCCTTTTTTGTAAACTCCATTTTTCATGTGCCATTTAAAAAAAAAACACACAATTTTCATCAAAAGACGATAAAATTACTTTTGTGAAAGAAAGTTCTGAGCTTACAGGTGACTGGACCCAGAAAGTTGAGCACTGCCCGGAAATATTTCATATAAGAGAAACCAGGAATTATTCAATATCTCTGGAATCCTTTGACGCACCCCTCCCCTACTCTCGCAGTCATTCTCAACTCAAGCCACACAGTCTTTTACCATTTTCTTTCTCTCTCTCTCTCTCTCTTTCTCCTCCACCCCTATTTTTTTTCTCTTTAATTTAAGCAAAAATCTCTTTTCTATCAACCGACATTTTCTCTCGTGTGCCAGTTCTCTTTTTATTTTTCCTTCTCCCACTATTGCGCATCCATCTCACAGGGCAAATGCAATAATTTCGGCATCAAGAAATTTCTCTCTTTCTTTTATAAAACGATGGACAGAGAAATGAGGACAAAATATTCTTTTTTTGGGTCACCACTGTTGTGGAATAATTCCATCATTCCTAAAATGAAATTTTCAAGAAAACTTTGTTGCAAAACTGTGTCAAGTTTTTTTTTCTCCTTAAACAATTTTCGTCAGGATCTCCCAAAGTTTTCTCTTCAGAAATTTCTCAATTATTTGTAACTATATATATTTTGTATGAAGGTGTATCATTTACGAATTTTAAATCATTATTAAATAAAATTAAACTTATATACTTTTAATTTAAAGTCAAAATTAAATTAGATTAATAAAAAAAAAATAATAATAATAATTTCTTTAAAATTTAAATTATTTTTGTATGTGCCTAAAATGAACAAAATTATTTCTTTTTTTGGTCTATAATTTTTTTTTGAATATTACAAAAAATATTCACGGTGCGCCAGAAGAAGGTTTAAATAAAAATGAATTGGCACTTAAAAATTCTTTTTGAAGATGAATAAAAAACTTTTCTGAATAGGTTTTAATATCAGCTTACGTGCCCAATTTAAAACAAATTGGGTTTTAAATATTTAAAAATAGTATTTTATGAGGAACCAGAATTTATTTAATGTATACTTATATGCATATAGATAATAGATGTTTTAGATTTGGGTTCATATAAATTTATTAACAATGAAGTTATTTTCTTGTTTCGTTTTTATATTTATGCATTAAGAGTGTCGAACAGTATCTGAAATTCTTTGGCAAGAAGAGAGCTTTAATTATTATCGCTCTGAACGTGAAATAGTATTGATTTTAAAATACTTTTTTCTCGAAAAACGAACACTTTTAACAAAATCAGCCAAAATCCTCATCTTATAAATTTCCTAAATCCAAAAGACTGTACGAATCCATAGAAAAACATGGTTGCAAAACAAAAAGTAGAAAAGTAATCTAATAACAGCTGCGACTTTGTGCGCCCTGCATGCTGCTGCCATCTGACGGCGGCAGGAGGTAATGTACCTGTGATTATATTACTTTTCGTTTTGCAATCGTGTTTTTGTATGGATTCGTATAATCTTTCGGATTTAGGAAATTTATATAAGATAACGATCTCTAGCTGCTTTTATAAAAAGTGTCCGTCTTTCGAGAAGAAAGTATTTTAAAATCAATGTTTATCATTTTCACGTTTAGTGCCGTTTTTATAGAGCAATAATTAAAGGTCTCTTCTTGCCAAAAAATTTCAGAGATCATTCGTCTCTCTTAAATAAATTTTGTCACTCTTAAAATCGTTCTTTTAACATTATAATTTAATTTTTTTAAATCGGACACAAACACTACAGCAATATAATTATTTATATGTAAAATTGAAAATAAGTAATTATTTTATCATTTATTACAGTATTTATTAGATTAAATAAATTCTGATTCCCCATAAAAAACTGTTTTTATATAAAAACTCAATTTTATTTAAATCGGGCACGTAAACTGATTTTAAAAACTATTGAGAAATCTAAGAATCATAATCAAAAAGAATTTTTAAGCGCCAATTCATTTTTATTTAAATCACCTTCTGGCGCACCGTGTATTAATAAAATTAGTTAAATAAATTGAAAACAATTTTTTACCGATTTTTTTTGAGTTTTTCAACGAAATGAAACTTTATTTCTTGGTAATTTATTAAACATGAAAAGGTGAAATAGTTTTTCAACGTCAAAATCAAGTGTACAATTTAGACAAATTGACTCTAAACCGTATATATATATATATAGAATTGACGATAAAATTTTGTAACCCGCAAGATTGTAAAATTCTTAACGATACATCTTTCATCTTCTTTACAGTGACATATATATAGAGTAATACTGCAGTGGCTAAAATTCACGTATATTAGTGTATATAAAATATAAATTTTTTTTTTATTTTAAAATGTTGACAGAAGACCCTTCTACTTCGTTTACGATCCGTATAATTAGTTTCAAATCGAGTGAACACAGTTATTTTAGTAACCAATATATATATATATATATATATAATGCAATACGATGTTTTCACAGTTCAATTAACAATCTGCATCCAACTTCGTGGCACTAAATCAATCTCTAATTTGATGGCAGATAATTTTCATTTTTTTTCAATTTTCTATAATGTGGTATTCTATCATTTTATAGTATGAAGAAAAACATAATTTCAAAAATTAATAGGAATTTCAAAATTCGTGCACACAAAAATAATTTTAGTAAGATTAATTATTTTTCTAATTGTTTATAAAAAAATTATTAGTTGCTATGATAAATTTATTATTTTTTTCAAATATATAAATTAATACTAACTATAATATTATTATTAATAATAATTATACTAATTATTATTATAATTTTTTTGTTTGGAAATTATTTTATTATTTATTATTTATTAATTATTATTATTATTAATTATTTTTATTAATTACTATTATTTATTTATTAGGTTAAGTATGGAAATTAATGATTGAATATAATTTAAATTGGATATTTTACTAGTTTTTTTTATATATATTTTCAGTTGCTTTTTATTGAGTTGTGAGTAAACTTTGCTGTTTCGTCTATAATTAGTCGATTAACCTATTTAATTATCAAAATATTAACGAATCGAAAATTCCGCTTTGATGGATTCAAATAAAAAAATGACTGATGAGGCCAGCGGCAGAAGAAATACAGAATATTTCCAACGTTTCGTACCAGAAGAGTAATTATCCCCACGTAGAAATTTTTTTTTTTTATGTTTCACCTCTATTTTTAATAACATTTATTAATAAATAACAATAATTTTATTTATTAATAAGATACATTCTTTTTTTTTTTTAGTCCACCCAATGTGGAGAATCCTGAAGAAACATGTTGTCATCGAATAACATGTTGTTGTCCATTTTTACGTGAAAAATTAGTAACACAGCCAATATCAAAATGTGGCAATCAACAATTAATATGGTCCGATTTATTTTGGATAAAAACTTGTATTATTCTTGTATTAATCACATATGTACTTCTCTATTGTATTCTTGGTGAACTAATGTTACCAGGCGGTAATATGTTTGGTTTATTTATAATAATTTTATCATCATATTTTTTGGGATGGTCATTAACGTACATTCCCTATTTACATATACCGCCTGTTTTTGGAATGCTAATGGCTGGTATTATTATTCGTAATACACATTTATTTAATATGAAAGAGGAATTTGGTACAACAACAACTGCCAAAATTCGAACATTTTGTATGGCCTTTATTACACTTCGAATTGGTTTTCAATTAACTACATCTCCACTGAGGGAACATCCATTCTTTCTCATGATCCTGGCTTTTGTACCTTGCACTATGGAAGTATTGGCTGTTGGTGTTTGTGGTAAATTTATTCTTCAATTACCATGGAATTGGTCATTTCTTGCTGGGTATATTTTTTTTTTGATAATATTCATTGTTATTGTAAATAGAAAAAAAAAATTGGCGAATTAATTTTTTTTTCTTTTTTTTTTAGAACAATAATTGCCTGTATGTCACCAGTTGTGACTGTCAATTGTATTTTGGCGTTAGCTGATCGTGGATATGGAGAAGATAAAGGAATGGCGTCTTTACTTTGTACAGCAACATCGATTGATGATGTGCATATTGTTGCTCTATATGCCTTTTGTTATTCCACTGTTTTTAGCCATGGTTTGTATTTCAAGTCAGAAGTTTTTTTTTTAATAATTATTTTAATTAATAAAATTTAATTATTATTTAACTTTTAATATTAAATTTATCAAGTGCGGTTAATGAATAGAAATTCGATACACTGAAAAAAAAATTATTTGATTCAAATACCGGTGTATTTGGTTATTATCAAATAAATATTTACTTGAATCAAATATTTCTTATTTGAATCAAATAAATGGTATTTGCTTCAAATACTGAAATATTTGATTCAAGTAAATATTTATTTGATAATAACCAAATACACCGGTATTTGAATCAAATAAATTTTTTTTTTTTCAGTGTATTATAAATTTCAAAAATGCACTAAAAATGAGAAATTATAATGAATTTTAGATAAATTTGCATGTGTTTTTAATTTTTATAATTCAATATATTGAAAAAAAATTAACGCGGAGAAAAACAGGTCAACTGTATTAAATTAATATCGATTTGATCAAAAATCAGAGAGGAAAAATATGTTTTTCAGTTTAATAAACATTTTTTTTTTTTTTCTTTTTTTGAATTTCCCCAAGTGCAACTAAGGCGAGAGATAATAAAATTTTAATAATATGTGGCAGATGAACTCAGAACAGAATGGTGGTCTTATATCCCTGGAGGAATAAGAGATTTTCTACTTGCCATTATCGCTGGAACTTTTCTAGGCACGCTCTTCATATTTTTTCCGCATCGCAATCACGTACGTATATAACATTATATATATATAGAGTATTTCTCTCCAATGTTGTAAAAAAACAAGTCATTTCCTCTCTCGCCGGAATTTCCGTGATTCATTATATTGATCAGTATATCGAAAATATATGCTGACACAATATAAATATAATTTGATTAAATTCATATTTTTTAGTTAGTAATATTTTTATTATTATTATTATTTATTAATATTATTATTTTTTTTATAATTTATTTTTAGTTTTTTATTATTTCAGAAATATGCAACCGAATTTCGATTGACTTGCTTAGCGCTAAGCTCATTGATGTTTTGCTTTATAATATCGAAAATTTCAGTGACTGGCGGAGGATTTCTCGCATCGGTCATTATGTCATTTATCGCGTCGTCAGGATGGCGAATCTTATCGGCATCGTTTGACGTAACTATTAAATTTTATCGTCCTTTTTACGTAAAAATATTTACTATCATTAAAAATATGATATTAAGTCGATTATAAAGAAAGATAAAAAAGAATTATATAATGAAAAATTAAAAAATACAAAAAAAAATTATAATTCTTTTGTCAATAGAATGAATTGTAAATTTTGATATATAATTATCGGAAATAACGTTTCATAATCAATTAAGTAAATTTCCCTATACTGTTCTTTACAAACACTCCTGTGTTTGATTATTGTTAATTGCTAATTATTAAACAATCAGTAAATGAAATATCAACATTTATAGTGAATTTTAATAACTAATTATGTGTAGCTTGCACCATTTAGAAGAGCCAGTTCAATCATATGGCATTTCATGCAACCGATATTAGTTGGTGTTATTGGCGCTGATATTGATTTTCACGATTGGTCTTCTGGAAGATTTGGTCTTTACATTGTTTGCATTTTAATTGGATTAATAGTTAGTAAAAATTCTATTTATTGCAGACTTTTTTTTTTTTATTTAATTTGAATTGAAATTATCACCTAATTCCTAGGTACGAAGTCTTTTCGTTATTCTATCAACATTCCGAACTCATTTCACCTATAAAGAACGAATTTTTATTGCTCTATCCTGGATGCCGAAAGGAACACTTCAAGTAAAGTTACAAACAAAATTCAATGAAACAGAAATTATCTTATATCAGAGTTTTTACAGTCACTATTTGATATTTTCTGCTAGGCTGCCCTGGCACCATTAGCATTAGAACAGGCAAGGAATGAGGAAAATGCAGGAGATATAGAACTAGCAACTGAAATTGTCCGACTATCTGTAGTTGCCGTTGTGTTTCTTGCACCTCTAGGAGCTATTTTAATGATGATCACTGGACCCCTGCTACTAAACAAAATCACAACTGAAGAACAAGAGAGAGAACGACGATTAAGTTACCTGCGAATGATTAGTCTTCAACCAGTCATTAAAAGCAATACACGCAATAAAATTGATAATCCCGAATAAATTTCTAAATTCTCAATTATATTTTCCTCCATAATAAATATGTGAAAAAAATAATAACTGTTCATTTACTTTAAATATCGTCTAGATGAAAAGACCGTAGGGTTAAATCGCCAATTTTTTAAATTATAAATTAATTTCATCAAATTAAAAAAGAAAAATCGACTCATCTCAAACAGTAAATAAAAAGAAAAAACGACTCACCATTCGATGAATCCCTCGTCGGTGGTGATTCTGAGTATTGTCACTTCTGGACCTCTTTCTCGAAGATCCAAATACCACTTCTGTTGACGCTTTTCTAAATCTTTCACGTCCATTAACTGAAAAATTACAAATTCAGTTAAAACTCAAAATAAATTATTTTCTAAATAATAATAATATTCAATTTTTGTTCAATGAAGTTGATTTCAAGTTAAAAATAAACTTTTTCCTATATAAATATAATGGGAGATTTAATATGTACATATATGTATATAATTCACGAATTCTAAAATCTCGTTTCCGCATAACCGAAGTTTCCTAAAATACACATTTGTTTGCGACCGAGACAATAATTATTGGCAAAGTGAAACTGGGGCGCATTACCGACAGTGGTGCACTGCATCTTGTCCATTGTTTGTAAATTGAATTGAGAGTCGAGCAACCGAAGAAGATAAGACAGAATCGGATGCTTTTCAGCTCAATGTGTTCAAAAACTTCTTTCATACTACATTTAATAAGCTATAAACCTAGCAACGTGTAACCCACTTTATAAACTTGATTCTAACTTCCAATGGCACTTATCCATATTATCGCGTCTTTAGTACTTTTTTTTCTAAATTATTCATTAAATTTTTAATAATTTTTTTTTTTTAAATAAAACAGTTTTAATTTTATTTTAAAAATAGATAAAATTAAAAATTCTATAATTGTAATAATTGAAAATATTTTAGTTACAATACGAAATTGACCGCGGATGAAATTTGTCAAAAATTCATCACTAATGTATACACGCGGAAACTTTAAAATTAATTACCAGAAAATTGGCTACTAACGAGGTAATTTAATGTTGGGAAATTTATGTCCTTTGCGTGTAAAATATCACATAACTGTCTGATCGACCAGGACCTGAAATAAATCCGATCAGCCGCAGACACGATCAAAATCCGTCTCTCTCCCTCATCCTCTTTCCGTCCATGCTCAATACGCTAGATTTAACAATTTATCAGCAATACCTTATACATGCATCTATATATATATATATATATATATTTATACCATATATTTATAATGAAAACACTTTTTTGTTGTACCATAAAAATTTGTTATTGTCCCAAAATTTATTTTTACTCAAGCATATTGTATTGTACAAATTAAAAAAACCGAATTTTTAAAAAATTATAATGAAATTAAAAAAAAAACAATACAACTAAATTTTTTGTAATAAAATTTTTCCAATAAATTATAATATTTACCTTAATAACGAATGTTTAGCTTCAAGGAGATTTTTTCAAACTGAATAATCCTCGGAGATCCTTACTTTCAAGTTAAATTTCCATTCAGAAAATGTGAAAAATAAACGTCAAAATAGACCGTGTTCTAAAAAGTCTGTGTGAATTCTGTGTCCTTTTTTTATTTTTGCCATTATCTTTGAAGTACGTGACACAACAAGCCATTGAGGATAGAATCTGCAAAAAGAAAATTAATTAAAATTCATTTTATAAGATTTTTATTTAGTACTAGCAAAATTAAACGCGCGCAAGCGCGCCAAACTGAGTATTTAATTGTTTGTTATAAAGAAATTAAAGATTAATATTATCAATAATAATTTAATTTATTAGAATATTATTACATATTAAATGATAATAATGAAAATTATATGTTTACAGGCCTCGGATTATACGACTTTTTCCGACTTTTTTCAAAAATACGACTTTTTTCGACTTATTTTAATAAAATGCGACATTTTTTTTTACATTTGAAAAAAATGTAAATAAAATACAAATAAAATATAAAATTTTAGTATAAAATGTAGATCTTCTTCAATTCAATTATTTATCAAATTTTAAACTAAAATGATTCTTCACTAAATTAATTATTTTTAATAATTTTAATGAAATACATCACAAATTCTATTATATCAAAATTATTTTTCAATTAAAATTTTTATGAAATTATCAATTGTTTATAATTTTAAAAAAAATATCACAATAAAATTGAATTATTTTTTAAAAATTTCAATTCAAAATTAACTAAAATTCAATTATTATCCGAAATTTTAATTCAAAATCAATTAAAAATCCAATAATTATCCAAAATTTTCAATTTAAAATTTAATTATTTACTAAGTTTTCAATTTAAAATGAAATAAAATTCGATTATTTTCTAAAATTTCTATTCAAAATTAATTATTTAAATTTTCAATCAAAAATAAACTTAAATTAAATTATTATCCAAAATTTCAATTGAAATTCAATTATTTTCTAAAATTCCAGATCAAAATCAACTAAAATTTCTATTCAAAATTAATTATTTAAATTTTCAATCAAAAATGAACTTAAATTAAATTAATATCCAAAATTTCAATTGAAATTCAATTATTTTCTAAAATTCCAATTGAAAATCAACTAAAATTCAATTCTATTCAAAAATTTAAATTCTAAATTAATTAAAATTCAATTCTTTTAAAAAATTTCAATTCAAAATCAACTAAAATTCAATTATTTTCCAAATTTAAACTCAAAATCAACTAAAAGTTAACTAAAATACAATTATTTTTCAAAATTTTAATTGAAATTCAAATATTTTCAAAATTTTTCAAAATTTCAATTCAAAATAAACTAAAGTTCTATTATTTTCAAAATTTTCAATTCAAAATCAACTAAAATTCAATTGTTTTCTAAAAATAAATTCAAAATCAACTAAAATTTAACTAAAATAAAATTATTTTCCAAAATTTTAATTGAAATTCAATTATTTAAAAAAAAATTCAATTTAAAATCAATCAATTACTTTCAATTCAAAATGAACTGAAATTCAATTGTTTTCCAAATTTAAAATCAAATAAAATTTAATTATTCTCAAAAAATTTGAATTCAAAATTAATTGAATTTTCAATAATTTGAATTTAAAAGCATCTAAAATTTAATTATTTCTAAAATTTTCCATCGAAATTTTTTTTTTTTGAAATTTAATAATTTCAATTATAAGTCTAAGGAAATTCAATTATTTTTAACTATTTTAATAATATTTTTTGAAATTTCAACTATCTGAAACCATTTTTCAATTAAAAATGATTTTCAAATTATTGTATTTTGTCCGGATTTTCTAATAAATTTTTAGTGAAATCATCTAAAATTTTAATTACAAAACACTTAAAGTTTCAATTAATTTCAAAAATCTCAAATTTAAATCTTTGAAAATTTAATTAAATTTAAAAAATGTTTTCCAAAAATTGTTTAATAAATTATTTTTAGTTCTGTAAAATTTAATAATTTTTTGAAAATTAACAATATCTTTTAAAATTTAATTATTTCTAAAAATTTCAACTTTAACCCTTCGAAAAGGATTATTATTAAAAAAAAATTTTTTTATTTAAAAATCTGTAAAATATTTTTGTTAAAATAAAAAACAAATCCACTTTTTTTGGAATATAAATCGACTGAAACGACTTTTTTTGTGTCTTTAAGTTGATTCAAGGCCTGTGTTCTTATAATTAATATTTAATAGGTATTTGTTGGCCCCTGGTACGTTAAAAATTAATTTTTAAAAATAAATTTTTTTCAAATTACTATCTTGTACAAAATTTCCTGGCGCATCTTTTTTCTCATCATAAATTTTTTGTATTTGTATAGAATTTTTGAATCAATATACAACTTTAAAAAAAATTTCGTTGGTAAACGTTGTGTACTTCAGCTTCGTGAATTGAATTTTCGAATTTGGAATTTTAAAGAAACTTATTCCGAAATTTGGAAACACAATTATACAACTTTGGCAAAAATGAGAAAAAGAATTGTCAAAATTTGACACGTCATAAGATTACTATTCAAAAAAAACACGTGAAATCAGAAAAGGCCAACTTCAAGTTAGGACAGAAGGACAGACCAAGCATCTTATTATTATATAATTTCTTTTGTACTTAAATATAAAATTAGAATAAACTGACAATAATTTCCAAACAATTAAATTTACAAAATTTTCGAAACTAAATGCCCAATATTGAGTTTAGAGAGAGAAAAAAAACATTTTTCCCCATCGTATTCGCAATTGTTATTCATTTTTTTTTTAGCAGACATGCTATAATTTTTTTTCATATTTTCAAGTAGCCACCTAGAAAATCCTCGAGAACAAGAAGATTCAATTAATTGCACTACTACGCTTTGTCGCGGTTCTTAAGTTTTAGGTCGAAATTATGCTGACACACAAGCCAGGGCAACGAAATTATAAAGGAGCACATAATCAACCTCATTTAAAAAAAAAAGAAGAAAAAAAAAACAAGAGACTGAAGGATCAATCAATAATATCTAATTATCCGAGTCGAGAATATAAGGAACAATAGTCCCATATTTTCGTATTAATAAAAAAATCAAAAATTCTAACTGAACAATTTTTTATATTTTGAACCTTGGATTTTAATTTTCTAACACTATAGAAAACAAATTTTCATTTTGTATCAATTTTAAAAATTTGACACAGTGCATTACAAAAGTCCTTTCTATTTCCATTTTCTTTTTTATCATTTTTCTCGTCGTCCTTTTGTATAACCCATCATGAATATTTCGTCCTTTTCGTTCCCCTCATCCGCTTTTTCATATATTTACGAAACATTTTTCTTCTTCGCTTATAATTTCAAAATAGAGAATTTAAAAAATTCATCGAAACAAATATGCGTATATACACTCAAAGTAAATGAAAACATTAGTTTATAAAACGAAAACAAATGTCCTTCTTTCTCTCTCTCTCTCTCCTTTCAAGAAAAATGCGTTTTCGCAAATAAATGATCTGTTTTTGTTTCTCTCGTGATATAAAAATCCTACGACGAGTTTGAATATATTTTTGCTGAAGATTCTATCTGTATAATAAGGATAAAACTTTCTTGTCCAGACGAATTTCAATTTCATGAAATGAGATGCGGCTAAGCTTTTCCACATAAATGCGTTGCATATTCCCGCTTACGCGGGTGAATAGTTTCAGAAGAGAATCAATGAGGATTGAAAGCTCCTCAAAAGGATACCAAATACATATATATATATGTAAAACCAAAAAAAAACAGGAAAGTCAAAAAGAAGTTACGCCTGAAATCGAGTTTCCTTTAAAATTGTCGACACAAGCAGTTTTCCTTGAACAATAATTTGAAAAAATTAAACAGAATATTATAAATATTTCAGAAGAAATTAGAATTATTTTTTAAAACTTAATATAATTATTATATTATTATATTTAATATTATTTTTATTATTTATATTTTAATTTTTATATTAATCATTAATATTACAAAAAAAATATAGAAATCAAGTTTCAATTTACATTGTCTCACTAAAAGGTAAATAATTTTAATTTGTCTAAATTAAATTCAAATTTGTATTTAAAGTTTCGAGACTTTTAATGTGAATTTCTCTGTTTACGTGAGTTGAATTTAAACCATCTCCTTTTTGGTCATAATTTTATATAATATATAAAAATACGAATTGTGGTTTTCTATATTATTTGCTTTTTTTTTTTGAATAAGTCAACAATAGAAGAAAGTAAAGAAAAAAGTTTGATTTTTGCATTTGCTCGTTTGTATGGGGGAGTCAGGGCTCTTTTCATGTGAAACAAATGCACTTGTATTGGTACGCACATATATACGTATATATATATATTTATACCAGAAAGAGAAAATACCCTTGATTCAAATGCGCGAGTCTTTCGGAGTGCAACGCAGCCAAACGCATTCGCATAGAGCTAGTGGTGTAGGTCGATAATTTGGACGACCGCCAACCAGACGCTATCACAATCACAAACGAAAGTCATGGGAATAGAAATGAAACATATATATATATGTATTCATAAAATACATATAAATATTTATCTTGAAACCTTATAAAAAATTTAACAAGACAATATTAAATAATTGAAATAATATTCATTTAATATTTAACGAGAAACAAAATTCGTAAATCGATTTCCTCAAATTTATCATTTTTTATGTCATAATCAAAATTTTTTTGCAAATACATATTAAAAATATGTGTATATATTCATCTAAAGTATTAAACATTTGAGAATACAATAAAACATTTTAATTTGCTTAAAATTTAAATGAAAGAATATTTTGCCTTTTTTATTAAATAAATATTAATTATAATTATCGCTATTATATTTATCAAAAATTTAAAATCTTTTTACTTAATTTTAATTTCTAAATTATTTTTAAGTTATTTTAAAAACACATTATTTTAATTAATTAAATAAAACGTATTTATCTGAAAACACATGAAATAAATAAATTGACAAAATAAATTTATTCGATGTTGTTTTAAAATAATAAATATTCTTTCATTTAATTGTAATTTTTAGTCAAATCGATTTTAAAAAAATTTATAAACAATTAACTTACTTATTTTGCAATCTTTGTTGAAATTTGTGACCTTTTGTCCTTTTTCAATATTCCATTATGTACAGCAAAAATTGTAATTACTGAAACAAAAAATAAAAGAATAATAAATAGAATAAAAGAAATATTCACTGAAAAAAGAACAAATTTAAATCCTCAAAAATTTATCGGAAACTTTTAACAAAGAAAAAAAAATGATTTTCAATCATTTAACATATATAACATAACCTAGAATTACAGGTATATATCAATATTATTAAAAAAAAAAACATCAAATTACCGATTTTTATCAAAATAAACAATTTTTATTGCAATTGGGAATGTTTTCTCTTGGCGCCATTTCTAACCTCAAAATCATGCGCAAAATATTTGGTCACTTTCTTTAAATATTCTCCATCATTCCAATTTTAATTCTTATATTTTCTAACTAATTCAACAATTTTGAGAATACTGGAATATTTATTATTAACAATAATGAGAAAAAAAATCTGAAGATTTTCCGGTAAGCGGAACAAAACAGTCACGCATGGCAAAATCAACGACAATTGAATATAAATGATACCAAGAAAATTACTACAACTTCTAGAATAATATTTCTAGTAATAAAAATAACTAATAATAAAAATATTAATAAACTTTTTTTGTTTAAATAAAAAATTAGATTGAACAATGGCAAGAGAGAAAACTTCTATATTGAGAATCACTGGACAAATGAAAGAAACAATCGTTTGTCGCCACCTGACGGTCAATATTTAAAGGTTATCATCAACATCTCATAAATAGAGATAGTTACCGACAGTTCCTTACATTTATGTTCATACATTTCTAAACGGGAGTTATTTATTAAAATATGTCGTGTAGAAGACTTTTATTAATTCAAAAAATACTTTAAATTATATTTTACATCCTATATCATTGGTTTAATAATCAAAAGTGAGTATAAGCATCAGCATTAACATAATATAGAGATAAATAAATGTCACTGGACGCTTCATCTACGACGTAGATATTTAGGGAGGATCTTTCTTAATTTTTTTCCACATTAATTAAATTCTTCTACATTTACACATAATTTTTGTATATTAATTTAATAAATTATGTGAATAAATCAATTGAACAATTTTATAAAGATCATGATTGAAAGTAACGATTTTGTGAATAATCTAACGAATAAACGACCATGTTTGCCCTCTTGAACAATTCTCTACAAAAGATACTTTCTTGACACTTGTAGATGTATGTATTGGGTGATTATTTTTACACGATTGTATGTATATATATTCACACATCTTAAAAATTGAGATACACCCAATTTATTTGAAAAATTTTAAGATTGAAAATTTTTTCTCTCCTACTTTTCTTTTTTTAGAAAATCTTTGCTTTGTGATTGAACAATATTTTACTTTGAAAGTGCAAGTGATGTATTGTTAGAATAATGCGATATTTGATTACAATAAGAAAAAAAATAACAAGGTCGAGTGTTTATTTACGATATTTGTGTTCAGTGATTAGCTTTTTGAAATAATTTTGTCAAGCTGCTAATGAGGTATCTGTTAATTTTTATTCTCTTAATTTCCACTGATTTCAACAGTTAATGGATAAATATGAAAATTATTTATCGTAGTATTTATTCATTTTTACTTTACTGTATTTTATTTATATTTACATTGATACATTCAATTGATTTATAAATATATATAAAAAAAATTATCATGATAATTTTATTTGAATTTAATGACAATTTTATTGTGTGAGTGTTAAAAAAAAATGTAAACACAATTTCAGCCAAATGGAAAAACAAAAAAAGAAACGGGACATGATTCACTGTACTCAGTCCCAAAATATTCTTCGAAATTTGATGCTTCGAGATTTTGGATTGAGAACAACACATAAAACAAGTACCAAGGAGCTTGAGCCAATTGCTGAAACAAATCTTGTACTCAAAGACCACAAGGAATTGGTAATTAGATTGATATTTAATTAAATTAATTTTGTTTTATTTTCAATTAGCAGTGTAATAAATAATTAAATCAATTTTTGTTTTAGAAATGTGACTTGCCTGGCGTTCCGAGGGGATCATTTTTAATGGTCTTTAGTCCGGATGGGTTAGTATATTTAAAAAAAAAATCATTATTTTGACAAATTTAAAGTTACTAATATTTTTTGAATCTTTTTTTTTTTTTTTTTATCAGTACAAAAGTCGCTTCAACGCACGGGAATCATAATATTTACATAACGGACCTCACTACGGGTAAAAATATCCAAACACTTTCGGGACATCCTCGAACTCCTTGGTGTATTGCATTTCATCCGTCTTCGAGTGAAATTTTAGCTTCCGGATGTTTAGGTGGTCAAGTACGAGTTTGGGACCTCAGTGTAAGTTGAAACAATATTTTCTTATTTTTATTAATTTATTTTAAATTTACCAGCATTAATGGAAAAAAAAATTCTATTTTTCATTTTTTGCGAAATAGGGAGGAAGTGAAGTATGGAACTCGGATGGTCAAACAGTGATCGCATCACTTGCATTTCATCCTTCCGAAAGATTACTTGTGATCGCAACATTCAATGAAGTTCATTTTTGGGATTGGAGTCAGTCTGAACCATTTGCCGTTATTGAAACAAAACACGTGAAAGAAAGAGTTAGGTCTGTAGAAGATTTAACTAAAATTATATTTATATTATGAGTTCTATTTTTTAAAATAGTTTTCTAATTTTGCCGAATTAATAAATAATATATTTATTTTTGTCGTAGGTATGTTGCTTTTGATAATTTAGGAAGAAAACTAATCACAGGAATTGCGAACGTCCTCCCACCTCAAACACAATGGGATCGTCCTCCTTTAGAACAATTGTACCGATCTATTCCCCGGTAAGTTTAAGAAAAAATAATAATTAATTTCTCTTTGGAAAAATAATTATTAAAATATTTTTAAAAATTATTAATATAATTATTTTAGACTTGTTCGAGAAAGATCACAAGAGTTCGAAATTTCTCAGCCTTTTTCTCATTATCATTCCTCATCGCCACTTCATCTTTGGAATCATGGAATGATGCCGGGATCAAATAGATATCGAGATGTTTTAGACGAAAGAATTCCTTTTACTGATGGGAGAAATATTAGAAGAAATCAATCAACCGAATACGATCCACGACTTTTACAAAGGTTTTTTTTAAGGTTATCAGCATGGCTTTCTTTTAATTTCTTTGCACATTAATTTTTTCTATCAGTTAATATTTTAATTATTGTAGTAGAAAATAGAAAACTAATGAAAATTTTTGAAACTATACTTTCTGCTTTTTTACTGTTTTTTTTTTTTTTTAACGTTTATAGTTGTTTTTGTCTCTTAGTTGCACCATTTAATTTTCCCAATTAAAAAATAATTTTCAAAAACTAATTAATTTTTATTTTGTTAAAAAAATTTCAGAGACGTGACGGTACCGGTAGTTTCTACACCATTAAGACGACCCACGACAATGACAATTTTTCGTTCAAATAGCACGGCTTCTGATCTTGAATCCGATCGAGTTATCGAGAGAATTCCCGAGCAAATTCCAAATACAAATGCAACTTCTAATCAGCGAACTAATGAATTGAGAAATGAAAATCGTTCCTCTGTTGACGATAACAATAGCAATGGAGAACCATCAGCATCTGATAATTCACGAAATCCATCACTTTTCTCAAGTCTTCATCCGAATTTCTCAAATATCGAAAATCCCCTAAGATACGATCATCTCATGAATTTATCGGAACGATTCCAAAATATTTTTTCCGAAGTAAATGAACGAATGGTTCGTAATAATGGCCCAGAAACTGAGCGTAGATTAAATCTTTGTTATCAATTTTTAGTCGATCAATATCAATCAATAGTTCGAAGATATTGTGATATCTCTCGAAATAGAGATACTGTAAGTTTATCAAAAAGATTAATTGTAATTTATCAAAAATTTTCTTTCTTAAATTTGAATATATATATTTTTTTTTTTTAGATTGATCGTGGAACAGATCCAATGGACGCGCCAGAATCATCGACAAATTCGCAATCAACGGAAACAAGGGAATCGAGTCGTTATTATTTAGCAACACAAACATCAGCTTCGATATTGAGAAGTATGTTAAATTACAGTGCACAGGCGAATAATACAAATTTAGAAAAACTTCAACGTTATCAACGTGTTTTAATGGCAGGGGCCGAGCAAGAGGAAATAGAGCCGGCACTTCAAATTCTTCGAGAAGCATTAAATGCAACAGCCGTGAATAATAGTGCTTGTCTCGCGAGATTACAAAAATTACGCGAACGTTTAAGAGCTCATACAACAACACTTTTTTTGCATTCAAACAATCGTAGCAATTCAGGTCTTCAAGTTCTTCGTAATGCGCTCAATGATGAAATTGAAGCACTCAACAATATTGAAGTACAACTCACAAATACAAGTTCACGAATTGAAATTCTACGCGATGAATTGGCAACAAATGGTGTTTTGCGTCCCAATCAGGCAACAGCGGCTTCACAATTAAATTATCTCGAATCTATTTCTGCAATGTTATCTAATAATAACACTTTGCGTCCTTCTAGAAATGGAGAGAGTAGTTCAACAAGGGAGACAAACAGAAACGAAGACAATAGAAACAGAAATGATGAAAGTAATCGAGTTCCCGGTGGCAGAACTGAAGAAAATCAAGAGAATCGCGAGCAGGAGAATGAGGAGAATGTTTTTCAAGAATTAAGAAATGAAATGACATCATTCAGGGATGATTTTATATTTCGTAGGAGAAATCTAATGCGATCAGTTAGTGATAGAATTTTAAATATATTGGAAAATTTTAATGATCTAGGAGAATCGTCTACAAGTCGATCAACACCAAGGGAAGGAAATAGAGGAAATTCATCTCACAATAGAAGTAGAACGCAATCAAGCTCAAGGACAAATAGAAGAAGAGTCGACGATACAGATACGGATGATGAACCACCAAGAAGAAGACGTCGACGCGAAGGTTCTCATATTTGGTATCCAAACTACAATTCCAACTCGCGAGCTCGAATTGATATTCCTGGTAAGTAACAAAAAAAGAAAAATTTTTTTAAAAAATTTAATTACATTTTTTATTTTTTAGAAGACAGTTCACCGTCCAGTGATGAAAGTTTCAACGAAGTTCGATCACAACTTTTTGGCACCTCTAATTTCACAGTAAGCTCAAGATCCGCCTTTCAACCGAGCATTCCAAGGCAATCGCAAACGCAAAATTCCACAATTCCACCGGAAACAAGAAATTCCAATCAACCAACAACAAATCAAAGTGAACAAAATGAAAATTCACCAACTGATCAAAACATCAATAACGACAGGAACCAAAGAACATTAAGTATGATCACCTATGAATTACGAATGGCTCTCGATTCATTTAAACGTAGTCTCAATTCAGAGCAATCAAATCAAACTGACAATAATTTATCGAGTCATCATACAGCAGCTGAAATTGCACGTGAACAATCAGAGAATGGCTATTGGTTACTCGAGGAAAACAGTAATTCCGACTCGAATCAAGAGGATCATAATTTAAATCCAAATTCAAGTTTTCAAAGATGGACCAGCCGATGGATACAATTAAATCCCTCAACAAGGGACAGTGATAATGAATTTTCAAACGAGAATGGTAGAAGAAATACAAATTCAGAATCACGAAATCCTGATAGAAATCAACTTTCGCCAATTTCGATTAATTCCACACGTTATGAGCAACCGCCATTATTTCCTTTTAGAAGTCTCCGTGAAAATCAAGCAAGGCGAATGGAATCATCTCAGGAAACAACTGCCAGTAATAGCGCTCAAAATGACAATAGAACGGAATCTGAAGCCAGAGCAACAACATCGAGAAATGATGATTCACGAGATGACGATGAACCACGTCATTCACGAAGACAACCACCAATTAGAAAGGGAATTAATCCCGAAGCCAAAAGAATCAAAGAGGAACGAAATCGACGAATTAATCGAATTCTCTCGCAAAATCACACTCTCACCGATAATGTTGGCGTTCGTCAAGGAATTCCACTTCTCAGCAGATACATCGATAATATGGAACGATTATGTCGGTGAGTTTTCTTATTTCCATTTTTTCTTTTTCATTGATTATAATTTCCTTTTTTTTTACAGTGCTAGATTAGAGATTGTACAACTTCAACAAGTTCGAAGAACATGGGAGGATTTACTACGGCAAATTCGCAATCTTCACGTAACTGTGAGAGTTGAAGGTGAAAATGCTGATCAACAACCTTCCACAAGTGGAACGTCATCTGCTTCTTCCTCAAATTCACAAAGTTCCACAAGTTCCAATGAAACACAAAACAACGAGTCGGCGAAAAATTTCAAGAAAACCCTCATTGAAAATTATAAACGCGAGAGCAACGAGGCGGACAATAAAACGGTATTCTGTATTATTATTCAACCGTCCACATCATCATCACCATCATCATCTTCATCAACGCCAGCAGCAGCAGAAAGTACAGGGCAAAAAATTCCTAAAACTCCCTCACAAAGTGGAACGCCCGATTCGAATCAAAATTCGACAAACATTAGTCTATCAAATTTACTACCCACGGAATCGGAAATGCGACGTATGAGACGAAATAATCGTCTTTTAGAAATATTGAAAGCATTACGTGAACGTGAAACTTGGTCTGGTTCACCAATTAATCTCGATGAACCACAACCGCAACCAAATGCTATGAGTGATCATACATATTCGAATTTGACAAGTAACGCAACTGTTCAACTACCGAGTATTGCAAGTTTTATTTCCAATTTATCGGCAAGTGTAAATATTCCATCGACAACGCAACTTCTCGATTCTGTTGAATCATCATTAAACGATGATGACGGTCCAAGTTCATCGAGAACATTAAGAAATTCTCCAAATACTTCGTCAGCTAATCCTGAGAATGAGAGCACATCTGAGAGTTCAAATTCGGCATTATCAATGGATTCGTCGCCAAATAATTCAAATAATCGAGGAAAACTATATACGTACCAAAGAGTCTGGCGATACGGACGCAGAATGTATATCAGGTTTGATAAATTAAAAAATATATTAATTTTATTTGTCATTTTTTATTTGTAAAAATAATTATCCCATTTTTTTCAGACGACCAAGATTATTGTCTCTCGGTCCAAGGAGTATGAAACGTGGCTCAAGAACTCAATTCAATCCTTTCCGACATTACGAGCATCGACGACCGTGGCCAATTCGACGAAATGATTCACGTGACTCGCGAATGACAAACGGTAACACGACTAACAACAACAACAACAACAGCAACAACAGTAATAATAATAATAATAATAATAATAATAACAACACTGAACGAAATCGTGTTCAAAACACATCGGAATCACTTCAAGCAATGATTGTTCGTCTACAATCATTGGTTAGACAACAACGAGCATTAGCGCGAAATAGCGAAATTAATCGTAGTTCCGATAGTGATAGACAATCGGAAACAACACGCGATAATACAGAAAATCAAGAAATGGAGCAAATTCGCGAAGTCACACGTCTAAGAGCACGAGAGGTTCTTAGTTTAATGGTTGAGAGTCTCACGCAATTTTTCGAGGAAAATAGACCCGGCAATGGTGCACAAAGCAACGTTCTTTACGAGCAAATCTTCAAGGTCTATGTTCTACTTCATCTCGCTCTTCAATTAACTGATTTATTAATCGAACAATTGGTGACAACGCGACGCGAATTAGAATCCAGTCAATATGGACCTTTTAATTCAGATTTTTTTGTTCCCACTCCCGATATTGTTAACGAACGACGAAACAGTCGAATCGATAATGGCTTACAAACAGAGGCTAATCGTTCCGATGTCAATCGAACAAATAATGATTCGTTTGAAAATAATAATGTACGCGAGGAAAATGCACCAAGCGAAACAAGAGATCGTTCACAATCCAATAATACCGATTCTTCACCAGATCAAGAATCAAGAAATTATCTCAATATTCTCGAGGAACTGCGAACACTCTTTCATATTCCCTGTTGCAATAATGAACAACGAAATGAATCTTCCCGTGAAGCGGAAAATTCCACTCGTCCAGAAACATCACAAAATACGGAATCAAATTATTTCACGGAAACAAATACAGCGAGTAGTTCAAGAACGCCTGAACCAATAAATGAAAATTCTGGTGATCAAAATGTGAATCATATTTCCTCGGAAAATGCATTATCAGCGGAAGTTCAAAGTATCGTTGAGAGAATACAAAATAATCGTAATGACAATAATAATGATCGACCATCAAATAGATCATTGGATAGTAATAATCATTTGGATAATGATTCTGGTTCGAGGAATAATTTTCTATTGGGTCTTTCACAAGATCTAATAAGAATACATGAGGAATATGAACGACGTAATAATAATAATGAGTCGAATGATCGTCAACGAATTAGTAATAATGATGGTGAGGGAAGAACTGCGAGTTCATTTTTGCAAACATCATTGCCAATACATTTAATTTTATCGCGAAGAGGTCCCTTGAGATATTCCGATTCAACATTTAGACGTGAAATTTTACGAATGATACGTCATAGACATGAGGAAAATTATTATATTAGTCATCGTTTAGAGCAACTCGCAAGATCAACTCATCAATTGAGACATGATTATCATTATGGAAGAAATCGACCAGCGCCCGATAGAGATTATGCATATTTACCGCGACCACCTTATCTTGTCTCAAGAAGTCGTCCTCTTATTTTTGACAGAGATCCTTTACTTTCATCCTCGGCAACGACTAATCGTCATGAATTTAATGTGCCCATTGTTCAAGTTGCACCGCCAACACCACCGCATACGCCACCTTCATATTTACCAAATTCCACGCAAAATAATAATGAGAGTTCAAATAATACAAATAGTAATTCTAATAATGAACAGGCGGGACCTAGTACATCGAATTTTGGAAATAGAAATCAGGTAAGTTAAATATTTTTTTTTCTAATTGTTAATAAATTAAATTTATCTCAGTAAAGTTTCATTTAATAACAATCAGGTGATTTAAAAATTTTGTTACGAAACAATTCCAACAAAGTTTACAATTTATTTTATTCGTTTAAATAAAAATTATAATTGTATTTGTATCTTTCAAAAATCTGAAAAAAGAAATTTGTTTTCAGGACTTGGGTGGATTTCAAGTTTTATCACCACAATTAAGAAGATGGTTCCTGGCTCAAGCTACTTGGAGGGGTTCGAGATATTTAAGTCAACGTTATGGATCATCTGCTAATGGTGGAAATGGCGGTGGTAGCGGCGGAGGAGACGGAAGTGGTGGACAAGATCCGGGTAATGACGATAGCGATGATGTTGATATAAGAGGTAAAAAGAACATTTTTTTTTCTTATTTCAAATTAATTAAGAAAAAAACTTAATTGTGTTTATTATTATTATTCACAGATCAAGTACCTGTTGGCATATCATTTAATGGTTTGGAAATTCCAAATTATCGTGTTCAGGCTTGGGATTTTTCTGACGGTGAAATTCCGGACATTACAAATCGTGAGTGAATTTTTAGAAAATAGAAGAAAATTTGCAAAAAAATTCAAAACTAATATTTATATATAGAATAATAAATTTTTCAATGTTGCAATTTTCAAATTTATAATTGAAGATATTTTTTTTAGCCGAGAAAAATGTTGTTGTACGAGAATGTAAAATACACAATGATGCAAGTATCGACATTTCCGCTGACGGAACAATGTTAGCAACTGCGTTACCATCCGGAAGAATCAACGCTACTACCACTCTTGGTAAGAAAAAATCGAATATTGATAATAATTTAATAATTAACTTAAACGATAATCAAAATTATTTAAATATATAATTATTAATTATTTTAAATTTTAGGAGTCTACAGTTTACAATGGGAAAATTTGGGAGAACGAGTTTATTCAACAGTAACTGATCAAACAGTCGTTTCACTGTCAATGTCACCGGCAGGACAACATCTTCTCGTTGGAATTGGATCAAGAAGAATTCATATTCCAACAAGGCCACTGCCAATGGCATTAATTTACAAACTCGTTAATCGTGAACCCGAAACAGAGAAAAAAGTCACCGTTGACTCGTCCGATTCGAAATATTACAATATTTTCGATCGTACACATTCATGTAGTCGAACAGTTGTTTATGTACAAGGTGCGCCAAATTTACGTAATATTTATCGTCGCGATCCTAATGCGCCACATCCCGAGGATGATAGACAAAATTATCTCAATTGGAGGAATCCAAGTCCCGGTGGAAACGATATTGATATGAAGGACACAAAGGAGAATATGATTCTATTAAGGGAATTGCTACAAAATAATAGGGAAACAACTGGACATATAAGTTTAAATTGCATTCGATGGGTACCACAACCCGGTCAAGGAATGATTTATACCACCAACAATGGTCAACTAAATATTCTTCACTAATGTGATTATTAGTTTTCCTATTTAAACGAAATTTCTCCAATTTTTCTTCTATATTTTATTTATTATTTTTTTTTTTTTTGTTTCTTTTACACAATTCAAATTCGGGAAAATTTGAATAATATATATTTATTATTTATTAGGCGATAATTAATCTCCATGTTTCTCTCTGTTATAAAATATATTTTATGAGAAACTATTGATTTTAAAAATATCAATTTTAAAAATTTAATTAAATAAAAATTTAATTAATCTAAGTAAAAAAAGAAAAATTGAGAAAATTCGTTATCTAGGATTAAAATCAATGTTCCAGCCTGCAGAAAATGTTTTTTTTTCTGCATTGGCAAAATTGTAGAAATGTTTCTTAGTTTACGCGTTAACAGTGATCTATTAAACTCTCTAAATATAGGTTTAAAAAAAGAGTCTTAGGCGATCGAGTTAGAAAAAAAAAAATATATTAGAAAAAGTTGCTATCAATGTTCATAGCACTGAAATAAAAAAAAAAGGTTAAATTTTTGAAACGATTTTCATTTTAAAGCAAAAGCTTTTTGAAAATGTTTTCCATACATTTTCTAATATATATATTTATAATTTACTATATTTTAAATTAACATTAAAAAGGAAATTAAATTTTTTCAAAATAATAAAAAAAAAGTGCCATAAAAATTGCAGGCAACTAATTCTAATAAATTGATAAATTTATATTGGATATAAATTTATTTCCCGTATCTGTGAAGATTTTTTTCTGCCATCCGAAATAGATATTTTTATTATTATATATAAATATATATATATAAATTCAGTCCCGAAGGCGAAAAAAAATCCTTTATATAATAATGTACTTTCGAAGTAATATCTTTATCTTGTAAGATCTATTTTTTTTTTTTTTTTTTTGTATAATGTATATTAATTTGCATTGAGCAATTTATGCTGTTTTTCGTATTAGACTGACTTTTTAATTATAATCTGAGTATTATATATATTTCACGCAAATGCAATATTTTTTCTTATGTGATAGCGAATTTCGTGCCATAAATTAAAATTTTTTTCTTTTCGTAACTATAAATTATTTTTTTCTTTTTGGTGAGGGGCAAAATTTAACAGGTTTTTCAAAATCGAAACTAAAACTAATCGAAATTAGAATTATTTTTGTGTCACGTGAATTATTGTATTTCCCTTTTGAAAAATAAACGATGGTGATAGTTTCGCGTTATGAATTTAAGAGTCATGAAATTTAAACGTCGACTATATTTTATGTTTCAACGTTACAATTATATTTTTTATATATGTAGAAAATATAATATTAAATAAGAGACCGTAAGTGATACTGATGAGAATGATTTTATTTCCTTTTATGTTTTTTTTTTTTAAATTTTGTTTGTTTTAAGGCATCAAATCAAATTTGTAAAGCAAGAAATTGTAATTGTAAAGTAATTATGAAGAGAATTAAACTTATTCCAATAAGGAAAACTCATAAAACTGATTAGTATCATTTATCGTTTTTTTTTTCTGTTCTTCATTTCTTTCAAATCCCCGAAAATATTTTTAAAAAAATTCAATGTCACGAAAAATTATAAATATTTGCGATTAATTTAAAAGCTAATTGTGCGAATTAAAAAAAAAAATTAAATAATCATCGAGACTAATTAAATTATTTAAGAAAAAAAAATAATATCTCCAGTGTGACTTCTCCCGTGCTTCTTGACACATTATCATATTATATTATTATGTATTTTTAAAATCAATTTAATATTAAAAATCGGTTTGTGGAAATCATGAAACAAAAAAAAAAAAAAATTTCAAAAAGAAATTATTCATATACTGAAAGTATGTTTTCTTTTTCTCGTGACATTGTTTCTGTATTGTCAAGAAAAAAAAAATATATATATACATTGTTTCAAAAAAATTGAAATGAAAGCGATCTTTATGTACCCCCCAGAGTCGCATTTCAAAATGCTTGTGATTGAAAAAAATTATTGATAATAAAATTGACTTTGACTTAATATCATTATTCTAATCTAATTTCAAATTATGACTTTAATTATTGATTTCTTAGCCATTTTAATGTTTAAAGCGATATATATATATATATGTAAATATTTATTATTATTTACCTATATAATAATATAGGTTTTTAATTAAATAAAAAA